GAAAGAGGCTCCAGCGTGAAGTGAATTCAACTTTATGGGAACAAAAGGCATGAGACTTTTAAAAAACTGGGGTGTGCTGCTAGGGGAAAGCCCTGAGGGGTAGTAGGGGTGTTGGTCCCTGTGACTAGGCTATCTGGGTTTGTTAATTGGAGCTTATCTGGAGGAGAAGCAAACTTTTGTGGTGTAAATTAGAGCATGGTCCTCTGAAGTTAGGCCCTCACCCTCCCACAGAATCTGAAAGTCGGAGTTGTCTCTTTGAAGGGTTGCTTTTCTCAGATCCTTGGAAGACAGTTCTGGATGGTTAGAAGATTTACATCTCAAAGGGACAGAGAACTTTCTAAGCAACTGCTTTAAGAGAGGGTTCACGGGGCCAGCTGCCTATTGCCAGGGTTTGACTGGAATAAACAGGACATTCTCCTGGCAGTGATGAACTTTCTCAGGCAGGCATTTTAAAGGGGGCCATCCTGGGGACATGGATAACTGCTAGAAGCCATGCTACAGTTTGGTCAAGGAGAGAGTCTTTACCAACATTGAGGTGGAAAAAAATCATGCATTTTACTACCATGAGATTGACAGGGACTTTTAGAGGCAATGATTTTGGGATAATGAGTGAGACAGAATCCACATGTCAAACATTATATAGTGTCTGGATGGAAAGTGCAAGCAGCCAGTTTAGATAAAACTAGACCAAAATAATACTAGAAGACTAAAAGTAAAAAAATGAGTAGGCAAATGCTAGTTTTTTTTTCTAAAGAAAACTTGTTCAAACTTGGAATATGCTATGCTACTTTTCTAATTCCAGGTGGCAACAAAGGTACAATTCCTGACTTTCCTGTCTGACTGTAAGCTGCTTGTTTGCAGGACTCATGCCTTCCACTATTTTGTGTCTCCACAACCTGACAAATACTGCACAGAGTGGGTACTAACAAAGCCCTTTATTGGTGATGACATGATGCTGCATCTTGCTTTCACTGAAGACAATGCCTTCCAGTGGCACCCTTGTAGATTAACTATGGAAGTCTAGGAAGGATGACAGTATCCTCTGGTGGGTGTCAAGCTGCTTGAATAATGGAACTTGGCAAGTGTTAAACTGCTAGGTAGATGCAAAGATGGAGAGCCAACCTTCCTGGCCGTGCATTTTCTTCCTCAACACCAATGATCTGGGTCAAGACACAGAGAGCTTAACTAATGTGTTTATGGAGGAGGATTGGTGACGGAATGACATTTTAAAATAGCTCCGTGTCTTGGAACCCAGGATGAAATAAAGTGACAAGTAGTAGGTTCTGATCCTTCTCCAGCTTGCCCTGGGTGACAAGTTGCTCTAAAATTTAGAAAGTTAGCCATAGAATAAAATTCAGTATTCTTTTAATAAATATGCAAAAATACCTCAAGAGTTTTAATACTTTCCCTGATCTACGTTTTAAAACCAGCTTCTTATGGCACACTGAATGGCACGTATTTTGCAATATAGCATAAATGTTAGCGAAACCCCACCCAAATATGTTGCATGCATGTTGGAGAATGAAATAGCTCCAGACAGTGCAACACTTTGAGGTACACCATTTCTAATTTGTGTGTTCAGGCCCAGGTAAAGCAGGAATCAGGTTTTTCCTCTAATTTAATCCTCCTGGCAGCAAAAGAATGTGTGAGGAGCAATGAAATTGTTGCCTATCAGCTGAAAAAACAGCTTTCTTTGTTATTTTTATTTTTAAAATACATGCTTATTGTAGCCTAGGCATGGTGGCTCACACCTGTAATCCTTTGGGAGGCCAAGGTAGGAGGATCACTTGAGCCAGGAGTCTGAGACTAGCCTGGGCAACATGGCAGAACCCCATCTCTACAAAAATTAGCCGGGCACAGGGGCCTGCGTCTGTAGTCCCAGCTACTTGGGAGGCTGTGGTGGGAGGATCCCTTGAGCCTGGGAGATGGAGGCTGCAGTGAGCCAAGATGGCACCACTGCACTCCAGCCTGGGTGACAGAACAAGACCCTGTCTCAAAAATATATATATATGTGTATATATACACTTATATATACACATATGTTTATATATATGTATATGTGAACATGTATATATATATGCTTATTGTAAAAAATATATTGGAGGCCAGGCACGGTGCTCCTGTAATCCCAGCATTTATGGAGGCCAAAGCGGGAGGATCACGAGGTCAAGAGATGCTGAAACCTCATCACTATTAAAAATAAAAAAAATTATCTGGGCATAGTGACGCATGCCTATAGTCCCAGCTGTTCGGGAGGCTTAGGCAGGAGAATTGCTTGAACCTTGGGAGGCGGAGGTTGCAGTGAGCTGAGATCACGCCACTATACTCCAGTCTGGGACAGAGCGAGACTCCGTATCAAAAAAATAAATAAATATATTGGAAAACACAGAAAATAAAAACAGCCATAATCTCTCCCTACTAACCCCCACCCCCCAAAAACTACTTATAACATGTTGATGGGTTTCCTTCCTGTCTTTGTTCTATTTGTTTATATCATTTGACCTAGTTCATATTGTGGAGGGAGAGCCCATTCCTTAGGGTTTTGCTGTAAAGGTCAATGGATCCAGCAATTCACAAGAAAATAATGACACTTTACATCTGTCTAACTGTTTTAGTTTATCAAAGCACATTGACATGCATTATCTCATTTGGTGATCACATCAGACAGGCCATTTATCAGGATACTAAGATCAATGGGGAGAGAGGGGACCGTGCCCTATACCCCATGGCTGGGGAGGCTCAGAGCCAGGATTTGAGGTTTCTAAATTTCTTATCTAGAGAATTCTACCCTACAATAATTTTTATTTCTCTATCCAATTAAAGTCTATATATCTACGTACAGAAATTCCGTTTGAGACCTAGAACTTCTACTTCCTGTGGTTTATTTTTGCGCCATAGAGCACATTTGTGTTTAATGTGTCTTCTGAGCTACCAGCCTGGGAACTTTGCCATCATCACATGCACAGCAGCAGTTTGCTCACCATGCACCAGTTAGCTTCCTCTGCCTCCTGAGCAGCTGGGCTTGGTCTCTGGCAGCAGACATCTGGGGCATGTAGCTGCCTCTTCAGCTGTCCTGCCAACAGAAGAAACTTACCTCCCATCATCTTCCTGAGTGCCTGCCTCAGCAGCCATGTATGTATTCATTGCCGTGTCTATAATAAATCAGTGGGTCCTTGCTGGAAGCTTGGACGTTTCAATGGAGAGCTTTCCAGTAAGTGGCACTTCTGGCTCTTTCCTTCCTGCCTAACCCTTGCCAAATTTCTTTACCATGAAAAGCAGTTCCATATTTGCGAAGGCTTTTAATTTCTTTTTTAAAAAATCTATTTGTGGCCAGACATGGTGGCTCACGCCTGTAATCCCAGCACTTTGGGAGGCCAAGGCGGGCAGATCACGAAGTCAGGAGATAGAGACCATCCCAGTCAACATAGTGAAACCCCGCCTCTACTAAAAACACAAAAATTAGCCAGGTGTGGTGGCACGTGCCTGTAGTCCCAGCTACGCAGGAGGCTGAGGCAGAAGAATTACTTGCACCTGGGAGGCGGAGGTTGCAGTGAGCCGAGATTGTGCCACTGCACTCCAGCCCAGGCAACAGAGCAAGACTCCGTCTTGAAAAAAATTAAAAAACAGAAATCTTTTTTTTTGGCTTCTTTACCTATATAATCTTCCTGTCTTCTCCAACTCTAACCTTCTATGTAAGTCTGTAAGATTAGGCAGGCTTAACAGTTAGATGAAATGTAGGATTTTCTTGGAACGGATGTTAGAAAATGAGATTCAGAGTGGCTGTAGGAGGTTAAAAAGAGGCAGCAAGAGAGAAAAGGAAACCTTGCAAAGAGAGAAATCAGGTGGAAGAAAGGCCATGGGAAACTCAGGAATTTCTGAATGGGGCATTTTAGCAAAGAATGAATGAAAAGTCAATGTCATATGAATCATGGTGTTGTGAACGTGAACATATCTAAAAATTGACTTTTGAAATATGTCTCCTCAACACTCGGAAACTGACATTTCTTCTGCATGACATGCTTGTCAGTTTTATTTTCAAATATCAAAGACTATTTTTACAATCAAAATGTCTTTTCACATGAAATTTTTATATTTTTTCTGAAAATTTGTGGTCAATTTATTCCCTGCACAGTCAAAGTAGTCAATTGCATAAACCATTCATTATTCCTTCATTGCAGTTTAATCCAGTACCATCACTTATGTAAAGGTTCTAATACCATTTGTTTTCTCTTCATCTATTTGAGACCAGTGTAAAGCTTATACAGCAGTTAGAAAAACAACAAGAATAATTGCTGTTCAAAGTGAGTGGATTAGCGAATGAACCAATCTAGGTGGTCCAAATGCTTCCATTACCTCCTTGCCTGGGCTCTGATTACATCTAACTCAGTGTGGTGTCTGTCACTCCTGGACAGAGCTGTCTTAACAGTGAATACATCTTTACCCAGCATCTCTCTTTCTAAGAACCCCACTAGGACCGCTCTTTGGAAAAACGTGATCAAGGCCACATCTGGGTGCCTGTGGTAAGCTGGCTAGTCATCCTAGCCCACCACAGATGCTAGTTGCCTTAGCACGCCCAGATGTATAGGTAAGAGCCAAGCAACCAAATCATGCTTTCTGCATCAAAGTAGCCAAAACTTTTTTTATTGAACTCAGTAATACTTTGTTCAATTTGGTCAGGAATAAAACTGAGTAGTTCAGCATTACATTTACCAATTAGTGTTCTGCTTATCATCCCTAAATAACGCATCTCATAGGAGTGAAGAGCAAAAAATAAAAAATTTATCTCATCTTTTGGTGTCAACTAGTTTCAGTATAATTGTATTCAGTCCCTACTTATCTCGTTTTCCTTAACTAGTTGTTCTTTGATTTCAAATCTGCTATTCTCCCAGTGGGAAGATCGCCTCTTCCACATGTGGAAGAAAAAACAGGTTCCTTGGGTTCCCAAGAAGCTGTTCACAAAGCCCCTGCCTATTTACAAAGCGAGATCGATGCTGTCCTACCTGAGCTCATTTTCAACCCTGAACCCTTTCCTGCGGGCCAGCTCCATGAGGAACGCTCTGCGGGTGGTTCCCATTTTCTTCTCCAAAATGAAGATGACCAAATCTTGAAATTTGATGTCTTGAGGAGAGGAGGCCATCAAGGCACCCGTCTGCCGGGGTCTCTTCTTCCGAGGGCTCAAGTGGGATGTTTGTGGTGGATCCATGGGAAGAGGCTGCTGCTGCCTCTGGCTGGTCCATCAGGTGGTGTCTCCAGAAGGGAGGGAGACTGCCACCCTCCTACATGAAGGGTTTTGATGTCATCTCAGCAGCAGACTCTGAAGCCAGGGCAGGGCTTCACGGGTGCTGCCCTGGCAACAGCTTCCTGCCAAAGTATGATGGGGAATTTTTATCTCTGTTCAGTTCATTTGTCCAATATGGAGATCATAATGAAGACAGTCAATTAACCTTTGTTTTCATACGCACAATCTCATTAGCTCCTCAGAGTAACCTTTCGAGGAAGGTAGGGAAGCATCGTTTGCATGTTATTTGTTTCTAAATGTACTGAGGCCCCTCTGTGGTCTTTATTTATTGATCCCTTTTAAACCTCCCAACTCACTTGCATTCTCCATCTTTTGTAGACAATCATGACACTGTACTAGATGTCTGTAATTTGCATGGGTGTTATATTCTGCTTGTGGTTGTTTTGATTTTACATAAATGACATTGTTACATTTCTCATTCTGCCAATCACCTTTTTATTTCACTTGGAACTATGTTTTCCAGGTCTGTGTTCTAATTGCTCTATTGCTTCTAACTGCTCCATAGTATTTCATGGTGGGTATTTACCACCTGTTCACTTACATAGGTACATTTTATAAACAAGAGAACCAAGGCTCAGTTATTCAAGATCACAGAATAAGGGGCCAAACCAGATCCTGAGTTCAGTTCTTTGGATTCCAAATGCTGTATACATTTATTAGTTTTTTTGAGTGGATTAAGTTTGTCCAGAGAGTAGTCTGTTATAAACCCTAAAATAGGTCTTCTTCAGTGGGATGGTATGACTCTTAGATGAGAATCACTGCCATAAGGAAACATTTCATAACTTTATGTGCAAAATTAAATTTGTCTTTCATTAATACACTCTATAGATCTCATTTCCTGGGCATCTGCTACATGGCCAAGGTAAGCAGCTACCAGCCTTAGCTGACCGGATCCTCACAATACCACTGTCAGGTGGTCCTACCTTTCTCATTTGGCTAAACAATTTGCCCAAGGTCACAGAGCTACTGAATTGTCACAACTGAGAAATGATTGAGCTAGGATTTGGACTCAGATCTGTCTGATTTTAAAAGACACACTCTTAACCACCAAGGAGCTTTCCTCTGTACTTGTCTTCTCCAACACTCTTTGTCCCTCTGCAACCTTCGTCTCCTGGGTTCAAGCGATCCTCTTACTTCAGCCTCCTGAATAACTGGGATTACAGGTGCATGCTACCATGTCTGGCTAATTTTTGTATTTTTAGTAGAGATGGGGTTTCACCATGTTGGTCAGGCTGGTCTCGAACTCCTGACCTCAGGTGATCATCCCACCTCGGCCTCCCAAAGTGCTGGGATTATAGGTGTGAGCCACCATGCCTGGCTGTCTGTGCCATATTATTTGAGACTTTTGCTGTCTCCAAAAGCACATGAGCACCTCACAACCCTGCTAGGGGAAGAGTGATGTGACAGCTGCCTTAAGTCATGGGCAAAGCACTCTGTGTTGCTCAAGAAAGCAAAATCAGAAATCTTCAGGTGGAAATTGTAGAATAATAGATTCCAATTCTCCTCAAGTAAGAACTGTTTAGTCACTCAGCTGTCTAAAAATATACAGAGAGCAGCTTTATACAGTGGTATGTTACATGTCATGAAAAGTATTCAAACAGGTGCTGGATAACTGTTTATTGAGCTGTAACAGAAGGGAATTCAGACATCTGGTAAGGACCTATAATGCAGCTCTGAAACTCCCGGATGCTATGACTGTTTGCTAGAGATCAACTGGGAGATGAGAGTCCATTTTGACCCTCACTATTAGGTGTTTGGTTACTGAAGAGCTGAATGCTTCATGTTAGAATGCAGTCGTAGCTGCCAAATGGTGCTGCAGCAGGGAGTATGTAAATCATTCTAGCAAGAATCTGGGATTGTTGTGTTCATTCCCAAGGTATAGCCACCTAATGGTAAAGGCGCGCCACCTAAGCAGTAAAGAGAATGGGGAGGTAGTACTGAGATGTGGCTAACAGCTCAGGCTTCGTCAGGCTGCCCATAAAAATTCTGTCTCTATTGCTTTGAAGCTTCAAAACAAGTTGCTTAACTTCTTTAAGCCTCAGCTTTACCTCATCTGTAAAATGAGGACTGAGATAGCCCACATAACCTGCTGGGCAGAGTGCTTGACACAAAGGTAGCACTTTCAATAAATGTCAGTTCATAGTCATTTATGTTTTGTCTTCGGAGACATTCCAGTTCAATCTGAAATCAGATATATATGTTTTGGAAAACTATGAAATCATCCAATGTCATATTTAATTTGCTTTGAGTCACTGGTATTGAAAAGATTGCCAACAGAAATTTCAAATGTACTGATGCCTGTCTGGTTATCAGGCTATCATCTCTCGGCTGCAAATCTACCTTTTTTGTGGTGGATTCCATGAGGTTGAGGCCAGGACTTAGCAAATTCTCTTTCTCATTTGCCAGCTGACTTTATGTCAGGCTCTGCCAATGGCAATACCAGAGGGAGACCAAAAGTCTGGATAAGAGGAAAGAGATGACCTTTTTTGTTTGCTTGCTGCTACTGTCAGGGTCTTCGCAGTAATGGTTCTCTACTCAGACAGCAGTGGTTGGTTCCAGTCTTCAGTTTTTTTCTTTTTCTTTTTGTCTTTTCTGCACAACCAGACCCAGCCTTACTGTACCCTTCAGAGGTATCAATACGAGCTAAGCGACATCTCCTCAAAGGTCTGAGTCCCAGCTCGGCAGAGGTTTCCCTATGAACTTCTATGGCACCAGGGGCGACAAGCAGCACTTCCTTGTTAAAGATCTGTGTTCCAGCTCCATGGGAGCCCTGCTCCAAACTTCCAGTTTTCAGCAATCCCGCTTCCATCCCTTTGTTGCTTCAGCCCAGTGGTGTAGTGTACTTCTTGCAGTTTCTTTCTCTGAGTTACCTCAATGTCCTCTTTTTGCTTTTTCAGCCATTAACGTAGTGAAACCAATCCCCTGTGGTGAAGGGAGGTGTGAAATAAGGTCTGAGAACACAGATGTCTCATTGCCTTTTCAGGAACTCAGTTAAATCGTGCTCATGAAGTGCCTCAAAAATAATAAAACACTATACAGAGTTCCCTTATCCTCTTTGGCATTGCTGCCAATAGCAGGAATTGATTTCTTCCTACTATACAACAATTTTCCGAAGCTCTTTGCATCAGATGTTGAGCACTCTCCTTGATCTACTAGATTGGTCAGTAATCTCCAAATCTCAGTGTCTTAAGAAAAGTTTATGCGCTTATGCTACTTGGTGGAGAATTCTGCTCCATTCAAGACTCAGGCTGACGGAGGTTTCACATTTGTGTACCTGTACCACCTGAGCTATGAGCCCATCTCAGTCACCATGGCAGGGAGGAGAGCACTGAGATGAGGATGTCTTGTGTCAGCAATTAAAAGCTTTGTCTCAGAAATGATAGACATTCTTGCTGGTCATAGCCCATAGGCCAGAACTAGTCATGCAGTCCCACCTAACTGCAGCAGGGCTTGGAAAGGCAAGGGAGCACATGGGATTTGGAAGGAAGTATTCCTACTCTTGCCACACCCAGGATTACACGATGTGCTGGTTGATGGTTGTGGAGACTCCCAGTTAAAGGGTTGTTACTACATCTGCACTAAGCCTGGGGCAGAGAGCAGGGAGGCCCCAGAGCCCTGCACTTCCTGGAGAAGAACCTTTAAAAGGAGGACCACAGTGTGCCATGGTCAGGCCATTCTGGGGCCTTTCTACAATTCCAAGCTGTTAGTGTGGATCTGTGGACAAGAAGGTGTGGTCCTTCTGAAACATCTCCATACCATCCATTCCTCCTTTTGAGCAGCATCTAGAGTGAAAAATCCTTAATACAGCATCAAAGGGCTATCCTAAGTGTGAGTCAGGTGCCTTTCCTGATTCCACAGTCTTCTGTGCCTCTCTGCCCATGAAAGCATGTGCCATCCTGTGTTGTAATGATTTAATCCCTTGTGTATACCCCACGCTGGACTGTAAGTCTTGCTGTATTCACAGCTGAATCCCCAACACCATAGTACAGTACCTGGTAAGGTAGGCTGACTAGTAAGTGTTTCAAGAACAAATTCAAATTCAAATGTAGTTGATTTTATTTATTTATTTATTTATTTATTTATTTTTGAGATGGAGTCTCACTCTTTCGCCCAGGCTGAAGTGGCATGATCTTCGTTCACTGCAACCTCCACCCCCTAGGTTCAATTGATTCTCCTGCCTCAGCCTCCTGAGTAGCTGGGATTACAGGTCCATGCCACCACACCCGACTAATTTTTGTATTTTTAGTAGAGACGGGGTTACTCCATGTTGGCCAGGCTGGTCTTGAACTCCCGACCTCAGGTGATCCACCTGCCTTGGCCTCCCAAAGTGCTAGGATTACAGACATAAGCCACTGCACCTGGCCGTTGATATTGTTATTAAGCTTTTACACTGTTTGGGCAACTGTGATATAAATCTTCTGCCGTGACCACCTTTCTCCATCTTAAACATTCCCAATTAAATGTCCCTTCAATATGAGCAAGTAGAATGCAGGTGTTAAGGAACCAGACGACCTGAAATCAAAACCCAGACATTTATGAGCTGTGTGACCGTGGGCAAGTTACCAAACCTTTCTGTGCTTCATTTCCCTTATCTCTGCAATGGAGGTTAGAATGATTTCTATCTTACAGGTGCCTATGAGGACTAAAGCACTTCAAAGAGCACTGGCATGCAAATTCCCACAACTGTCCATTGCTATTGTAATAGCCCAGGTTTCTCCTTGTTCCCCCTTCCCTTCCCTGTGTTCCCATATACTTTGTAGGTAACCCTGTCACAGTCCTTCCCAATGGCCTTTTGCTTTCCCTAGACTCTTCCAAAAGTGGTGCCAGGCCCACTTAGGAACAGCTGACACAGGAGGATCACTTGAGCCCAGTAGGTCGAGGCTGCAGAGAGCCCTGTTCATGCCACTGAACTCCAGCCTGGGTAACAGAGTGAGACCCTGTCTCAAAAAAGAAAATAAAACAAGACAAAAAAATAAAACAGACCTAGGACTCTAATGAGACCAGAGGGGTGTCCTGCAATGATTCATGGGAACACTGGTCCCATGAAGTGTTCCAGGCAAAACAAAAATTCTGTAGTGAATTAATTGTAGGGA